ATGTTGTTTTAGTTTATATGATATCTAAAATTTAGCTGAATTTTAAAACCATTGATACATGTGTAATAGCATAAACATGACAGAGAAAAGAATGTGTAAAGAAGATGCATAAGCAGAATTACAGGAAACCAATTATAACTGTCAATTGTGTCAAAAAAACCCTAAATTAGAGAGAAATGAACTAACCTTTTGATTATGTCTCTTGAATCCTCTTCAATCCTCAATCAGAAAACCCTAAATCAGAAAACCCTCAATCTTTCGCGTCTGCAAACCTTGAATCGTCTTCAATGACTCAATGAATTCTCCAAAACTCCAAGATATGCTTAAACTTTTCCAAGCAGCTCCACCTTGTCGTGCCTTCTTCTGGTCTGGGTAATGGTGGGTAATGAAACCGTTAGAATTGTTTTTCTTCCTCTAAGACACTTCATATCCACGTTAGCAGCTCCACCTGGACAAACATGACACGTCAGCAGCTCCACCTGGACAAACTTGGCAATTTTTTCAAAGTTTGACTAACGACAACACACGGAAGGATAAACGTGACATTATTTTAAAAGTTAAAGGACCAACTTACCACTTTTTAAAGATAAGGGACCAACATGGACCCCGAGCTAAAGTTAAGGGACGAAAAATGTTATTTTGCCATAGTATTACTATCGTCACTTAATATCACATTATATGTAAAAGAAGATACATGGATGATTTTGGTTTATTTTAGTAATAATTATTTTCTTTTGCATATTTTTAATAGTTGGTTAAATTTTAATTTTTTCAATAATTTATTTATATAAATAAATAACTATATCTATATAATAGTTGTTTATATTATTAATACTTTTTTTTAAAAATTATTATTATTATTATTATTATTATTATTATTATTATTATTATTATTATTATTATTATTATTATTATTATTATTATTATTACTAGCGTCTAAACGGGCACGTAGTGCCCGTTTGTTCGCTTTTTTTATTGCGCTAATGCGCAAAAATATTAACAACGTATTTTTTTATAAATTTGATTTTACTATAAATTATTTATATTGATTTTAATATAAACTATTTATATGATAAAATATTTTATTTCTATTCAGATACATATTAAGTTTTATTTATAATATATAATATTCGCGCATTAAATTTTGTTTGAATTGAGAAAATTGCATTGTGACGTGATTTTATTTAACCAAATTTTTCAAGCAAATAAGTAATGTGAGTGGAATAATTTGGTGGTTGGAATTACCGTATTATGGAAAAAGAAATTAGGTTACACCAAAATTATGTTTTGTATTTATATATTGCTATAGATTACTCAAAATCATAAGAAGATTTAGATAGAATATGAACAAAAATCTTTCTCACAATGTATTAAGCAAATAAAAATAAACATTAACACGGATATTAAGTTACGTTATTTCTTAATAGAAAGGTCAACCATAAAATCAAAATCAGAAATATCTCTCGTTTCACTGCAAAACAAATGAAGTAAATTTTAGTAGTTAACAGTATAGTGTAATTTAGTAAGTACACGCCTAGTGTGAGATTGCAAAAGTATAGTTGAATGATTAAACATAATAGATAAATACCTGAGTTTGTGACAACACAATTTCTTTAAAAAATATTTTTTTTTTGTAAACTCCCCTTCTTCCCCATCTACTCTTTCATCTTTAATTAACACTCTTGTTGCAGCTCGCGAAACACCTCTTGATAAAGCAATATACAATTGTTCATGACTGAAAACATATCGTGGAAGATAAATTCCGACATTTGGAATTGTTTGTCCTTGTGATTTATTTATAGTGATTGCAAAGCTTAGTTTGACAAGAAACTGTTTTCTAATAAGCACAAAAGGAAGTCCCGCACCTTTAGTAGTTTTGAGCTTAATCCTTGGCAACAAAGCTCTTTTTCTAGCATTTTGGCCTGTAAGTATTTCAACATCAAGCAAATTCATAAAAAAACCACGACATAACAACCTTGTCCCATTACACAACCCAAATTTAAGGTCTATGTTTCACAACAACATCAGTGGAGCCCCTATTTTTATCTTTAAAATATGTGGCGGTAAAGCACCCGGAGCAATTGTGTGCAAGTATTCCTGTTGATATAGATTATGAGTATCACCCTCAACCTCATCAAAAGATAATAAAATATGTTCATCTTTAGGGAATTTATTAATAATCATGTCATTCAACATATGTACATCACAATTTTTTGGGGGAATGTATGTTGTATAAGCTTTTGTATGGAGCTTTCTCCTTCCCATGGTATTACAATTTCAGCATGCATCCTGACCATGTCATCCTCTTTAGTAGGTTCATTACCATCTCCAATCCTCGTCAGAAATTGCGCAAAGTCCTGGTCATGAAATGATCGCATGTTTTGGCGCAAATGTAGGACCTTTGTGGTGGCCCATAATCGAGACCCAACAATACATGCTGGAATCATTTTTCCTTTATTTCTTTTTCAATAACAGGTAGCACTTGACGAAAATTGTAACACCCCATTTTATATACCCCTAAATAATCACATAATCATTTAGTCACATATTAAAAATTTCGTCAGAGTATAATTATAAACATAGTATAAAAGAGGCGCGTCACATTACGCTTAAAATTAAAACATACAACACCTGCTCAACAAAAGATATGCAATAGTGGGGTAACTTTGCAACAGAGGAACTTAGTCCTTACACCCACATCTCAAAATTTAGAATAAAAGCGGAAAATCTAAACATTGATAACGTCAAACATATATATATATATATATATATATATATATATATATATATATATATATATATATATATATATATATATATATATATATATATATATATATATATATATATATATATGTATATATATATATATATATATATATATATATATATATATCATCCAGTATGATTTAACAATATAAGTCATGTTTACATAAACATTCATCAACAAGATACATATACAAATGTATCACAAAAGAATCATGTACATCCTAGCTACCCGGTGCTACATATCAGAGCCGACCGATCAAAAGAATGAAGACACGCTTCACAAAAAGACCACCAGCATACCTACTTTGCAATGCCTCATAGAGCATCATAAAACAGCAGAAGGGTGAGAAATATTATCATAACAACAATGCATATAATTATATATCTTAGCATAAGAATACACATATTCTACATTCTCACCACAATTCATCACAACTCACTCATATACATCACAATGTGTGTGTGTATATATATATATATATATATATATATATATATATATATATATATATATATATATATATATATAACCAAACATATTCATCATGCATACTTTCACAATTCTTATCATTCCACATAAACATACACATTTATGTTTATTCACGAGTGCACAATTATAAAGATGATAAACGCAAATTATAGAGACCGACTCACGACTCTATGCAAATGCAATACGGTACCGACTCAATCATCTCAAGTTCACTCAGGAACTTATTGGAACCATCACTCGTTACCAATGTAACTCCCCGTCGGGCCTACGATGTTCACCCATTGCTCACACCTCACATAGGCACACAATGTTTGTGGATTGCTCACCCTTCACATAGGCACACAATCGTATTTCTCACACCTCACCTAGGCACACAATCGTTTGTAATCATCGCTCACACCTTACATAGGCACACGATGTTACAACAGATTCTCATTAGAATCACACAACACAAGAATGTACATCATTATGATTCACATACAAAATGACTCAAGACACTCTTGAAATGCATACATATTTACAATATATTCATGCATTCATCTCATTTTATCACATACAATCTATATACATTCAAAATATATTCCACAATCTAGGATTCACGCCATACTACTATCCACATCATATCATATAACAACACACAAGCTACACATTATATATCGAAAGCATACAGTATGATAACACATCAAATGCACCCGTTCGCGACGGTAAAAGTTGACAGAATGACACGTTTCAAATTTTTTGCTATAATTGGATCATACAATGACATCAAAACCATTTTTCCTAGAAATAACATCTCTTTATCTTTCCAACGCTTCGAATAGGGACTAAAACCGACTTACGGATCAAAAGATATGAATCTTCAAAGTTTTTCAGAAAACCAGAATTTTGCCTAAAAACTGCTATGGGATTTTGCATTTTTGCCCGAAAATCCGACCGATTCAATCCTTTCCTTCAAAACAAACACATACTCATACTCACCTAACATATAACAGTGAATTAGAACCATTAAACATAATTTCTACGACATCTAATTTCCACTCAAATCTCAAACCCTCAATTATCCACAAATGTCAAAAGTTACGAAATCACCCGAATTCAATCAAACAAGTTTCAATAGTCACGACTTAACATTACTCGACTAAACGATGCAATTTATTTCGAATTCTAACCGTGAAAACATCGGTTTCTATCGATTTTACCAATTCGACCTAAAATGGAAATATGTGAAAAAATAACCAAAACAATCCAAACAAAACCATACATAATCATACACAATGATAAGATAACAATATTTCACACCCTTACCTGATCAAATCGATTCCTAGAAGTGTTCTTGATGATTTTCCAAACTTTCTCTCTTTTCTTCTTTCTTTCTCTTCTCTTTCTTCTATTTCTCTTTTCTTTCCTTTTTCTCTCTTATATCTTTCTATTCTATTTCTTTTCTATTACTTTTTCTCTCAAAATATCTAATAATTCATTTTCTTACAAAATATCTAATAATTCATTTTGTCACATAAAATTTATAACTTAACATTAATTAAGAAATATCTAAAATACCCTCCAACCTAATTTCTCCGAAAACTCTCAAAAACGATAAAATAACACAATATGCAAACATAACATATTAACACGCCAATTCCACAAATAAAATAATAATCACCCAAATAAAATAAAAGACTCAACAAAAATGAAAAATCAGAATCGGGGCGTTACAAAAATCTCTGCCCATGATCATTATTTTTCAATCAAATGAAGCATTGTTATTCATGATGTCTTGAAGTGACCGATCTAATGCTTCTACACAATATTTATTTATCATGGGTGCTTCATCCCAAATGATTGCATTGGTTATTCTAATGAGTTTTGCAAGGTCAGAATTCTTTGCTATTTTGCAAATAGAATGGGGCTCTATATCAATGGGGATCCCAAATCGAGAGTGTGCAGTTCTACCACCAGGTAATAATGTAGCAGCTATGCCGGAGGAAGTGGTTGCTAAGACAATTTCATTATTACGCCTCAAATTTACCATTATAGTTTGATAAAGGAAAGTTTTACCTGTCCCTCCAAGACCATCAACAACAAAAATTTGACCTTGTTTTTGGTGGATGGTGTTCATAATTATATTGTAAGCACTCATCTGGTCATTATTTAAATTCACAACAGGTTGAACGTCTTCGTTTGGAATTTGGACCAATAACTCTTCCTGAATAATTTTTGGCACTCCCCCGACTACATTTGTTTCCGTTGTCAACATTGGAAAATCGTAGTTTTTTATTAGTTTTCTATGTAGTAGAAAAAGATCCCTCAATTCCCTCAATAACATATTTTCAAAGTTATCCCCCACAACAATATTTGTCATTTGATAATCCTCCACCATGTAGGGATGAAAATCATTAAATAGGCCTCTAACATCAGTTGGTTCACAAAAAATTAATATAGTCACAAACAACCTTCATAAAGCATATGGCATACGCATATTTGATGCTTCAAGCAAACACTCACGAATACTATTACCACTCTCTAATAACCCCCAATCCTCAGCTGGTTTTTGAATGTGAAAAAACATGCACCATTATGTGTAAGAAGGTATTCTCAGCTAGTTGGACCTCTTAAATGAGACAACAAAACACGTAAATAAAATTTCTCACCTTCTGAAGGGGATACTGTATAGATTCGACCAATAAATTTTCGTTTTGTCTGTCTTCGCTGCCATTTCTTGACCCCTTTTAGCCAACAATAATGCTCTGGAATCTGTCTGTACAAATTATTCCTAGCATGTGGATCCATTTGGTTTAGTGCAAAGAATTCAGTGAGCATGGTTACTGCATTTTGGTTATCATTTAGCACATTTGTGATTCTTTGATGCTTATAAAACCCCACTTGATGATGATTTGGCAAGTGGATTTGTCATCTTTCAACAGAGGGATATAACTTGTAAAGTGTGAATTTAAATATTTTCCACAATGTCTCTGGAGCATAAATCCATCTTGCATCAACATATTGTTGAATCTCATCCAAACCTGTACCTCTATAAACTTCCATTGCAACTCGATCAGGACCTTTGTAAACATATTTATACAAATATTTAATGCTTTTGATGCTGCTGCAAATCTCGACATTGATGTGACAATCATACTTCAACAACAACCATGGATTATAAGGAACCACCCATCTATTATCAATAGACTTATATATGTTTAGAAAAATGGGATCACTAAACCTTCTTCTGTATTCTGGGTATGAGTCATTTCCCTGACGCGTTTCTTCATAAAAGTCTTTTGGATATCTTTTTTTACAATGACCATTCTTCATACATGGAGATTTTTGATTCAATACTCCACATGGACCATAGATCATGTGTTTTAACACCGCTTCATACAATTTTGGTTCAGATTCATGTCGTGGTATTTCTGCTTTCACCATATTATCATACTCTTCAGGTTCCCGTAACTTGTCATCAATGTCCAAGATGAGTAGCATATACACATGTGGTAGTCCATGTTTCTGAAATTCTGTTACATACATATAACTCCTAACTCTCCCTAAGACTCCTTTATTAATGACATCATCCTTCAACTGCTCAAATTTTGATCGAAAAATTCTTGTTAGCAAATCAAGTTGATCTTGTGGAGTTTGATGGAGGCCTAATTCGGAAGTTATCTCAATCCAAGAAGGATTGCATGTCATTGTAAGGAATATATTCGATTTACCATCATTAAGAACAATAGCCATACCATCTTGATATCTTTGTGTCATGTCTCTCTTACTTCCAATAAATAATGATGGTAATAGTGTCCTTTGTCCAACATTATCTATAGAAATATATGAAAATTATAAAAAATAAATGCGTCGATAGTGGTAAACATAAAGTGGATGCTCTTCATGTATAAATCTAACATGTTATATTAAATACTTGTGTTATTCTCCCCATCGTGCAATGCATCTTGTAACCCCTGATATACCTCAGACCGAATATTTGATTTCTTCGAATCCATCTCAACCTTCTTGTTTCAATCTTTATATAATTGTCTACAACATACTGTTGTAAAAGTTGACCCGATTTTAACAATACAAATTGATCATTATGACGAATCTACATTGAATAAAATAATCAATCATGACCTATTTTTTTTTACACTTTTAGAAGTAAATTTCTTTTACAAAAAAGTCTAGCATGTACCTAAAGCACATAACTGTAGTACTATCGGCATGTAACATTTTTTCCAACATTATTTTTTGTTTCTATGTCCCAACCGTATGTTCCGAATGGAAATAATATATGATATTGTAAAGGATCATAATACCCAATTGCTTCTTGAACCTTTGTTAGATTTCCATCACAACTGATGACATTTATATCTCTCCCACGTTCTATTGTATCTTCATCACCACCACCAATAACAATTGCTGCGACTTGAGAAGCTGAAGGGAGACTATATTGTGGCTGATTTGACGGACGCTCTTTAATGAGTAACCTACATTCTTCAATATTTGGCTCTAGTGCAAGCTTCCTAAACATAACGACAAACGGGTTGCATTGATGGAGTATTTTTTTGCAATTTATACACTATGGCTTGGTTAAGTATTGGGTTTTCCCTTATCCTATTTTAAAGCTCATGATCAGTATCATAAATATATAGCTGCAAGTAGCGTGACCTTGAACCTTGATTCGGATGAAAACCTCCTATTTTGTGATAAATTGTGCCTTGAGCACGAAATGTGTAAATACCACCACCAGTTGCAACCAAACTTTTGTCGACGTGGACACCAAGTGAAGTAAACGATATTACATGATTGTAACTTCTAATATGCTGTCTAAAATGCCCTTCAGTAGAAGTGTCTGAAAATAACTGTAACAACTCGTCAGGAGCAGGCACCTGTGTAATTATCACCTTTCCACCTTTGCAACACATATCTTGAGATTCTTTATGAAACAATTTTGCAATGCATCGTCTACACTCACTTGAAGTAGGCAGTAGGGATTTGATTGTCATAACAGTATTTCAAAAATTTCTAGCAATGTTATGTCTTGCTTGAAAAACATACCATGATTATGTATTTTATTACATTTAAAACATTCATTAAAAAAATTATACTTATTATATACATGCTTACTAACATGAAATTTATAACCCTCAACAATTTTAGTTGGATATATATATATATATATATATATATATATATATATATATATATATATATATATATATATATATATATATATATATATATATATATATATATATATATATATATATATATATATATATATATATATATATATATATATATATATATATATATATATATATATATATATATATATATATATATATATATATATATATATATATATATATATATATATATATATAGCCTAATATTCTACCAATTTTACCCCTATTATAATGTGTAACTTACACAATAACTTCCATTGAAACCACTACTATCATCTTTCATATAACTTCGTACTATTAACATTCTATTTAACTTCCTACTATTAACTCCCTACATAACTTTAATTTATAATTAATATTCAATAAAAAATATTATTTAAACTTTTACGTGTGCATTAAAAAATTGGGCACACGGGTACGCGAGTGTCCGTCTGGACGCTAGTAATATTTAAATAAAAACATACAATATATATTATAGATTAGAAATATATAATTGTACCTTGATCAAAAACTGACTGTGTTTCTTGAGTTTCCACAACTGAATTCATATTTTGCAAAGGTGATTCTACAAAATAAAGTATTAACTTCAATATAGAGTTATAACTTAAAAATAATAATAATATATAAATCTAAATATGTATTACTATTAATAGACCAAACAATCATTTTTGCATAAATAATTAGTATTTTTTTAAATTTAATATATTAAAGTATAATCTATAACAAAAATTAAAGTTTCTAACCCGGGGATGGAATGTGACTGGCATGTGCGTTACTCGGGCTAGCTTCACTGTCATGTGCCCTTGGATACAATCGAGAAGCAAGATTGACATTTGTCAAGTCTTGAAATGGCATTATGGTTCTCATATTAGAAGTATTATATGTTTGAACTTGTTTTCCTTTGTCTTTATTTTGTGTGTAATTTGAACGCCTTCTAGCTAATTCTTGTTGTCTTTCCTCAACATTCATCCGTTGTCTTCGATCTCTTGCATTTTGTGCTTGTCTTTCCCTTTGACGTTCTCTTAAATCTTGACTACGAATATTTTCCACTATATTATTTTATCAGTAAAATTAAATGTAATTTTAAAAAATTTTATAATACAAAGATGAATGTGTCGTGTACAAAAATGAATGTGTCGTGTACAAAAATGAATGTTCATCAATTCTTCCTTTCAAAAATCGGTCTTCATTTCTTCTAGTACTATCGACCAATCACCATCATTCTTCTTTTGCAATGGAACTGAAACCTATAGAGAGAGTAAAGTAAATAAATTAAAAATATTATCTCTTAATTTTTATTGTAGTGTTTTATGTAGATGATTAGTTTGTAATAACAAGAAGCCAATTGAATGGTTATCTAGAACGGTAACCGTAAAAAATAAATAAAGAAAAAGAAACTGCCACCAATATGTAGAAATCAATTAGAAGTAACTTTTAATAAGCACTATGTATCAAGGGCAAAATTGAAATAAAAAAGATCAACAAAAAATTTTCTATCCTCGCGTGTGTGCATAGGTTGAGAGAGAGAGGAGTTTTCATACAAAAATTTGAAAAATCCACCAGCTACAGAATGACACGTGACGGCTAAGCGAGAGAAAAAAGTCAAAATGTAAACCCTTCTTCTCTACCTTGTAAGTTCTACACGGAGAGAAAGAGAAAAATAAATTCTCTTTCATTAGAACAATAACCAAACATTACTTATCTCTATTTTTTTCAAAGAACTCTCTTCCTTTTTTCATGTTTGTTACCGAAGAAGAACAAATCCAAAACACAAACTTTAACTCTCTCTTATTTCCAACATGCTCTCTCTTGAATCATAGATAATAGATGCTATAAAACGAAATTATTTCTTTCTTTTAATAGTTTATAATCATAGAAAACTAACTATTCTTAATACTGAACCATAACATAGAAAGTTTACCTTCCAATGTCATCATTTAATGAAGAAAATGCAATAGAAACATGTTGAATATTTTACCAAAAAGAAAGATGTATATTCTGAAAATTTGGTTAGTAACCGTGGTTCTGAGCAGCCGTTTATTTATTGCAAAGAGATCAATTATGGTGAATAGTTTTT